CCCCAAAACCCCAAAACCCCAAAACCCCAAAACCCCTTCATACAATATTGAGCGCCAATGTTAATTAAATTATAGATGAATTAGTTGCCTGATTGTGTTTTTAATGTTAATAATTTTAAACATTTGAAACGAATTAAATATAATGTTTAGAGAGATATTATATTAAAACTAGGTCGCTACTTTGTGTTAAATATGTGAAAATAAATCATCAGCATTTACTTCCTTGGCTCACCATCAAGGATATCTAATCCTAGATATTGCACAGATCCTCGATCTCTGCAACTTAAGCCTCATCTTTGACGAATTTCTGTATAAACTTTAGTGTCTTTTTGCAATAAACTGTACAATTACACTTTTTGTTAAAATAATCATCGCAGTTTGTCGGTAATATTTCGGGACATAACTTTTAAGCATCACATAAGTGCTTACAAGATGCGGTACCTAATTAAGATATACTCTGAATCACGAAGTCATCTTCAACACTTTCAAATTCTATAGCTTTGTTTCCCTTGCATTAAGCATTACTACTTGGATGCTTTTCATCACTAAATGAAACCTTGGTCATGCATGTTTTTATACAAGGGAGTTTTGAAAATAGCATTAATGTCTGATCCTTATTTTTGTTGAGAAACGATGATTGTACCTTTTTTTGTATTGGGTATGGCTGTTTGAACTCTGAACCATCCATTCCAGCATTGTTCATTTCTTTTATCATTTCAGCTTCTTCGTCCTCACCCATTAGATCTTAGTCTCCACATGATTATTATTTTGAACAGCAAGCTTAATCTCTTGGCTTTGATTAGCAGCATGAGTCTTCTTATGCAGATACCTTAACCTATTATTGAAGAACTTCTTTCTTAGGAGATTCAAAGTTTTGTTTCTAGGAATTACTTCCACATCCTCCACCACAGCATCCACCAGAATCTCCACCACACCCTGATTATTCCCGCTCATTTATCTTAGAAGCTTATTAGCTTTAGAATAGAGAATCATCATAATAAGCTGTTTTTGATTTGATATGCTTCTAAGATTTTTTAGATGTAGACTCAATCTGATTCGATTCTTGAGATAGATTAAGCTGATTTTGTTCGTTGGAATTATTTCCTCCTTTTAGCATACTCTGATAATAATCAGATATGTTCTTCTCTTGTTCTGGATTAGAAAATGAATTTGATCTAGATGTTCTAAATGTGTTATTTGTATCATCCACTATATTGTCTGATTGTAGATAATTCTTTTAGAAGATTTCCTACTGCCTTTACTTCTTTTTTAAGTTTAGTGGAACACTCTGATATTTGAATCTCTTTTGTATTTGCCCATTACTATCTACACTATTATCTGTCTTTGATGTATCTTAAACATTAATTGAGAGTAAGTTCTTTTCCTCATTTATAATAATTGCCTCTATTTTAGGATCTCTTTGAATTTCAAGTCTGTTTAGTGAAATATTTCCGATTGTTATATTCTCTGCATCGGTAATTAAGGGAATGTCTGCTTCCTCATTTTAACTCTCTTACTATTGCTGATCTTCCATTATTTCTTTGTTCTATTAATTCTAATCCTAATTATCAGTCATATCCTAACTTTATTCTAGTTTAATTTCTAACTGCTAACTTTAAATTTACTATTGAGCATCTTTTGATTAATTATTCTGTGTAAGATGCAATGTCAAAGCTGAAACTATCATACCATAGTCGTTCACTAGTTTTGAAACCTAGTTATAATAATCAGGAGCAAGGGACTATAGTTTCATTTAAACTGACTGCATTTCTTGCAAAAGATCTTGAGGCAATTCAGATTATGATTAAGTTTATGAATTGTTGCTCTAGTTTTGAACGTTAGGTAAATATTGATTAAACGGCTAAAAAGACTATTTTATTGGAGATTGTTATACCAAGTTTTGCTTCAAATTATTCTCAAAAACTTTTTATGTATTGTTGGTATTCATTTGTTGAATGCCATTTAATTATGGCAATCTATTGAGCAAGAATGATTATTATTACTTCTGCATAAGCAATGAAGGCATATAATCAGCAGTTGATTGTGGAATAGGAGTTCTAATAATAGGTTAAACTTTCATAGGTTGAAACTAATTATTTTTCAGTTCAAATTAAGTTGGATTTTGACTAATTTAATTCTATTTTTAGAATTGAATTATTGGCTTCTTTTAATGCTCAATTCCAGCTTATTTTGGCTGTTGAATATCCTTGCTTTACTAGAGAGATTAGATATTTCTGGATTCATCTAATTTCTTGTTCACACTTCTCATTGAATTTGAATTTTAATCTTCATCATCAAGTTACTCTCTCCCAATCTGGAGAGATTATATTAGTTATTTACCATTGAGTAGTTATTTTTATTAATCTTCACTTTATTTCTAATTTAACTGAGTCAGATTATTCGAATTATTATAAGTAGATTCGTGATTCATCTAGTTTTTTACCATCAAATGTCGATCCATGATAGCCTAAATATTCGATTTTTAAATCTATTACATCGTTTAAGTTTGCTATTGATGATTTGCCAAATGGCTTTATTACTCTGTAGGCTAAGAGTATTGTTAGTCTGTTTGGTTATTATTATTTAACTTTAATTTTCTTCTTTATGGTACCTACTAAACAACTTTATCATTGTGGTTTTTCCTCTTTCCCAATAAAATATTCATTTCTTCTTATTCTTTGTCTTCTTCATCATCATGATACTAATGGTTATCAATATCTTAAATGATTTCCTTGCAATTGTTAAGATCAACTAATAATGATTTTATATTTGAGACTATTTTACATTTATTTGTCTTAATTTCTGTCTCGTAATTTACTGGATGAGAAACTTGAATGTGCTTTTTTAATGAGCTGATGTAGAGATATCCCTTTCCACATCCATCAACATAGCATTTATACTGAATTCTCGTATCCTATACAGAAATAAAATTTAGGCATTTTGCACATGTACATAAATCTCAACAAAATAGCCTCAATACTCCATCTTTCCATATCTTATTGATTTTGGGAAAAATTGAATAATATTGATAGGTACAAGTAAACTAGTCTGGGACTTCATTTTATTACTTACATCATTGTCATGAACTTGTACATGCTATTTCAAATTGGAGCCGGAAGCAAATTTCTTCTTGCAGAAATTGCATATATACGGCTTCTCACCAGTGTGTATTCTCTCATGACGAATAAGGTTACTGATCTATAAGATATCATTAGAAATCACATAAAACAGAAAACCTTGCATCACCCATATTTAAAGTACAATAATATTTAAAATTTTGAGCTCAGATCAGAAAGGAAACTCAAATTAATGAATATACAGGGTTGGATTTAGACTTACTTGGGAAAATGCCTAATTACATCCATCAAATTTGCAGACATAAGGCTTTCTTTTATCGTGAACTCTCTAATGCTTTTATAAAGAGGAATATTAGGCAAAAGTCTGCTAGCATTATGAACTATTATACGCAATATTAATACGAAATGTCGCATAAATTAAATAATTTATTACCAGATATATGGTCGCTCACCAGTGTGAGTTCTTTGGTGTTCTTTTAATGTTTTCTTGCATGAGAAGAGTTTTTCGCAATTTTCGATCTGACACTAGAAGACCATAACTTAATAGTTCTATTATATTATTGTAGTAAAAATGATAAAAAGGATTATTATATAAATCATTAAGTGCGTTAATATTTATCAGGTATCCTTGAGCACACGATAGTTCCTAGTTATCTGAATAATGATATCTTTTATCAATGATTTTGATATTATCATTCCATGTCCATCGTGTAGCTGTCCTCATTATTTCCCTAATCTTGCTCTTCCGCACTCTATTATTGTTCTCCTCGAGGCATCTATTTGCTAGGGTTGTTTGCTGCAAATTCTCTGACTACTGCATCTATAGAAGTTCCCTTTGGCCTCTAGAATACTAGTTCGAGTACTCTCTCATCCCAAACGTTCCAGATCTGCATCCTGAATAAAGTTTCTCTTATCTCTTGCTTTCTTTTTTCAAGGTCAAACTAGAATTTAATGCGTTTCATCTCAATACCATTTTTCAAATGAGAGTAATTCTGATGTGCCTTCTAATGATCCTATATTTTAAGTGATATTTCCTATGCCTCGTAGTTTTTCTATCTCTCTTGGTGCTTTTTATTGCTCTCCGCAATTTATTTCTTTATTTGAAATACGGTTTGCTTTCTTCTAACTTAATCTTCTTTTTATTTTGTTATTTTATCTATGTAATTTTTCTTCAGAAAATCTTGTTGCTATTGGCTATTGGATTTAAGTTATATCTCACTTTCAAAGTTTTAATAAGCTTACTTAACTTTTATCTCCTTAATTTTGTTCTATATAATATTAATTTTGACTATCAGATAACTTACAGCTGAATTTAAGCGGTAAATCTATTTCTCTCTATTCTCTTTCCACTTCTATTCTTTTTCTTTTATGTCACTGTACAATCTCATTAGATTCTAAGATTTAACTTCTGGTGAGAATTTTTCTTTTTCAATAGACTCCAATCTTTTCTATGCTTATTCGTGCTGCTCTTTCATTCTGATAAATTATTATTTCCAGATTTCACGCTCCTGGTCAATTCTCGACATTTACTAATTCAATCTTTGCTCCTTAAATTGCACTTTATTTTAGAGATAGCTTATATTTTATCCCAAATCATCTTCTGCTTTTTTGTATACCTCTAGTCTTTTCATATGGTTAAGAAGCTTTGCACTTTGGATCCGCTGAAACTTTTATTAAGTTTAATTCTCTATGTTAAGTTATAAATTTTCCCGATGAATCACCTCCTTTTTAAACCTATTTTTTTCTTTTGAAATATGCTGCAAGGTCTACATTTCTTTTTGTATTTTCTCATCAATGATTTGGTCTGATTTCTCTTTTAATTTGCGTTCTAAAGTCGCCATGAATTGCTCTTTCATGGTGTTATATCTGGCAAGTCTATTTAAATAAATTTAGTATGATCCTTATGCCAAACATATATAAAATTTATGGATATTTGCAAATCCTTTGCAATAACTATTGGTGAACTTACTGATTGTTAAATGATTTATTTCTCTGGAGCCTTAGCTATTCCATCTTAACAAGATCCTTAAACTTGCTAACATCTTTGGAGAAGTCAAGGTTGACTGATGAAATTTTCTGCTCTAGAGCTTAATTATGAGTTACCAGAGCATTATCCACAATTTTGTCACTTTTTGAGTATTATCTAAGGAATTTTCTAGCGCTAGTCATAGATGCACGAGTTGAGAATCTAGATGACAGATAGCGTGAGTTAATCATCGGAGAAGCCTAGCCTGATTCAGCATACTGCTTAAGATACCCTGTGTTACTGGTTGAATGTGGGTGTATAGTTTAAGCAAATCCACCTTAGTTTATATGTTTTAAATTCTGGGACGATTAATGCTTTTGCTGATTTCGATATAGAGCTTTCTTGAATATATTGACATTATTATGTTTATAGGCACTAATAGGTGAGTCTATTTTCTAGGATTATAACAACCTTTGTCTAGTATCTCTTATCAGCTCAATATTTTCTATTTGAACAATTAGGATAGTTAAATAGCAATGTATCTTACTTTGTCTCTTGGCTTCATTAATTTTATATTTTAACTCAGCCATCTGAGGGTCTTTACAAGATTTAAGATAATCCTCCATTGGTCTAAATTATGTCAAATTTATTAATCTAATTTTACTTGTATAAAAGCTCCTTAGGTAAAATACCTTCCATCTTGCAGGCTTTGATGCTCATTGGAGAGTCTATGACTTTTCTAGACTCAAATAAATCCATGTCATCAAGAGAGAGCTTGGGCTTCAGTTTTCTCAAGTGAGCGGGCATTGGCTTAGACATAGGAGTTTAACTTTGATTCTCCTACTGCAGATCGTCATATTTCATTGATGGAGAGTTATTCATCGTATCTATAATTTTCAAATTGTTGGATTTTATTACAGTAATGACTAGGTCCAGACTCAATGTCTTGATCTTCCATTAAATAAGAGAGATTTATTAAATAAATTATTCTAAAAATGCAGAGATTATTTTATTTTTCTCTAGCTCTCTATCTCACTTAATTTACAACAGTGGGGTTTTGGGGTTTTGGGG